TATGTGGTTTCTAGATATTAGTGATTGAGTGTTCTAAAAGTCATCTTTGAAAATTGTTCAGTAATTTTTTTAAATTAATCATATATTCTTCATTTAGCAATTAGGTTTTTCTATTTTAAAATTTTAGTTTTGTTGTTACAAGTTCCAAAAATGAGAAAACCCAAACAACTCTCCAGTCTAGTCATACAAATAAATGAAAGTTAGCACTGAATATTTTTGAGTTGAATGAAAGTTTAGCTCTTTACAAAATTGTTTTGCTAGCCAACAACTTCTATTTTTTAATCTTCTTCAAAAGTGATACAGATAATAAAATAATAAGCCCATGATTCCTTGTGTTCTACTCAGGGAAGAGTCACTGCAAAAGGATGGGAATCAGTGTGATTTCAGAAAGAGCTGATCAGTTGAGTGATACCTAAGTTAGAAAGAGACAGCAAAGTAGATGAGAGGATGAAGTAAGTGCATATAAAATATAGTAGAAAAGAAAAAGGAAAATTTCTAAATTCCTTGCCATGGTAGTTCAGATGTATACTGGCTCACAATTTCCTTAGGGTCTTGGTTTTGAATGTAGGTCGGGTGACCAACAGATACCTGGCATACATAGACTTTGGCTTATGGAATTTTTTATGTAGTTTGAAGAGTCTGGGGGAAACCTGGTTTGGTCCAGGCCCATTTAAACTTTCAGGATGTTAATCAAAACTGCCTGAAGAATTTCACATCCTGCCCCTTTGTATTCAAAATTCCCTGGCGTGGCCCAGGCCTAGGGAAAAAGTGAATGGCAGTATTTTTTAGTAGAAAAAGTACTGGACATGATGTCAAGAGAATGCTGTGCTTTGGGGCTGCCATTTATTAGCTACATAACCATGGATTGCTTAATTTCTTTGAACCTATTCTCATCTCTGAAATGAGAATAATTATACCCATTGCATATTTATTTGTTCATTTATTCATGAGTGTCTGTGAATTCTTTGAGTGTCCATGTGTCAGACACTTTTATACATGTAAGAGAAGCAAAGAACGATAAGACACCGTCCCTGAATTCAAGGAGCTTAGGGGCTGTTAAAGGAAGATAGATCTGTAAATAAATAAATGCATGGAAGTATTATAAGCACTGTGAAAGAAGCCAGAAACATAGGAATCAGTTTTTATTTCTTCAGTTCCACTAATCACCAGGTCCCGTTAATTCTTCTACCTAAATACATCTCCAGTCCATCAACCTTTCTTCATCATCACTGTCACCACCTTAAGTCCAAGATGCTGTCGTCTTGTTTTGGACCATTGATCTCCCCACACCCACTCTTGAGCCCTTGAGTCTGTTCTTCTCACAGTGGTCAGAGACACCTCCAAAGGCAAAGCTGACCATATGAAGATGTTAACAGTAGGGAAACGGGCTGTTTAGGTAGATGGGGCCCCTCTGTACTAGCTTCACAATTTTTCTGTAAATCTAAAACTTTTCTAAAAGAAAAAAGTTTATTAAAAAAATATTAAATAAGGCAAACTGACCATATGAATTTAAATTGCTGCTTAAAACCCATCAGTAGTTTGTGTTTTTTTTAACTCGTAAGAGAAAATTCCAAATTCTCCAAATAGCCTACAAGACCTGTGTGACCTGGCCCTGCTTACCTCCTGGAACATTATTCCCTTTCCTGCCTCTGCCTCATGGGCCTTCTCAGTCACGCTGTCAGACTCCTTGCTGACAAGGGCAAGCTGCTCCTCTGCTCTCCACCTGGCTAATTCCCCAACCTTCAGATTGCAGCTCAGTGTCACTTCCCTGGGTTGTCCTCTTACATCATCCTGCATTGCCTTTTGGGCACTTGTCAGTTGTAATTTCATTTGTGTTTTAGTGGTTTTTGAAAACATATCCATCGATCTTTGTGAACTATGAGCCGGAGGAGTGCTGAGGCCATGTCTCTCTTACTTACGGTGCTAAGCACCGTACTTGGCATATAGCAGGGCTCGTTAAGTTGTTGGATGAATGAGTAATTAAATGAAGAGAAAAGAAATGTGACATTTTTGCTCATTGCTCTAGAGACTACTAGACCCAAGCAATGCAAATGGAGGAGATTATAATTGTATAGTTTGCTTAAAATTATAAAAACACAACTAAAATTAATGCACATGTAAAGCATCGTAAAAAAGCCAAAACATTGACCCTTTCTCATAATTAGGAAAGACTCAAAGAATTAATGACTAACTTGTAAATTGAGAACAGGAAAGGAAAACAAAGAAGTTTTTAAAATATTTTAAGCCTGCTGAATTCATTTATTGGCTAAATTTCAAAAGTATTATTATAGACATTTCAAATTTCATTGTATTAAAGTAGAAAGTAGTTTCAGCTTAAATTTTGACATAGTTTTGATGTTTTATTTAATATAGTACTGCATACTTGCTTTGTTAAAGAATTGTGGAGTCAGAGGGCAAAAAGTAACTCAGCCAAGATGCATTGTGATATACAATTTAAATGAAAAATGTTCCTATAGTTCTGTAATATTTTTAATTATCAAAGGCCTGTCCAGTATATTTACTTCCCATGAGGGAGTTTAAATAGTCAGTGATTTCATCAGCAAAGAGACAAAAAGGCACCAAGTAGTATATATGCTGGATCAAAACAAACATTTCACTTAAAAATAATGTGCCTTATTTGACCACTTAATGATCTATTATAATAATGTAGCCTGACTTCTCCCAGTAAAAAGAAGCTCATTTTATTTGTGTGATAGGTACATGAAGACCCTCAGATATATAGCACTTATGGGACCTTTGAATCCAGGAGAAGTTTGCAAGCAGAGACCTTGCCCATTTCCTTAATTGCAAACATGAGATAACCTGAAGAAATGTTCACTTTCCTCCTGTCAGCTCCTCCTCAAAATTCACCTCTTCCTGGTGGGACTTAATAGAGGTACATGAAAAAATTCTGAAAGGGTGTGTACTCATGGAACTGTTACTGGTGGTTGTCATTAGATTTCTTTTGTTATTAAGAAGCCATTAGCAATTTAAAAATAAATTATAATATATAAACATACTGCTTGCTTTTGGTTTTCTCAGCTTATTTAACATATAGTGTACTTAACAATATTTTTAATAAGATATTTTAGTGAAAATAATTTTTAAATTATGCATATTAATATTCATTTTTTAAAATTTTACTGACTCCTGATATCCATGAGATTAAGAAATTTCAAGCTTAGGTTCTCTCCGTTTAAGCAAATTCTCTCAAGGCAAAAGCTGTCTTCATTACTCCATTTTTTCCTCTGTATTCTAATCTTCACTTAGTTTTTACCTTAGTGTTACTTTATAAAGTTTTTGTGGTGGTTGTCATTTGTTTGTTTTTATGTTTTATCTAGGATTTTTAGTTGTTTAAAAATGTTCGTCTAAGTACCTAGTCAGCTGTTCTGTTGGAAGTGAACCTCTCATAATTTTTGCACCAAAATGTATAAACTTTGCATATTACATAATTTTTATCAGAGCTGTGAAATGGTATAATAGCCAGTAGTGCTTCGATGCCATTCAGTAGACCAACCCTCCCTCCACCAGAGTATCCTTAGAGTTTTAACATGGGTTTTGTTTGATGAATTTTTTGCAAACTGCAGATAAATACTTGATAGTTTTTCCCGGGTTAAAACTGTGATGTTTGTGACTGTGTGGTGAAGGCCTCTATGAGGCCTTGACTGCCTGTTTAGCTATGTGTTAGAGAAAATTCAAATGGACTTTTTGAATCGAATCTCAGTCTTCCCTAATGTGTAACTCCCCTCATCACACTTTCAAGCTAAAGTTGGATGGCTTCACACATGTGTGTTTGTTAGGCATTTTTTAAAATTTTTTTTAAGAGAAGGTGGTCTAGCTGTGTTGCCTATGCTGGACTCAAATTCCTGGACTCAAGGATCCTCCTGCCTCAGCCTCCAGAGTAGCTGGAACTACAGGCTCATGCCACTCACTGTGCTTGGTTTAGGCATCTTAATTTTCATAAGGCTCACCTGTCTTTATCTCAGTGCAGCTTTGTGTCCTTAACTGGCCCAAAACAACAATAATAAAGAGAAACTGCATTCCAGGAACTCATCAGAGGGTATAAATGAATTCTTGTTGCTGTTTATTATTCTTAAAAAGTCCTGAAAGCAACCAATTTTTATGGTTTACCTAAAGAATATTTAGCCTGTCCATTCTATTGAGATAAAATTTAAAGAGGTGTTGAGGATGTCCTTTATTATATAAGCACAGGATTTCTTGTCTAAGGGAGAATTTCCTTCTAAACTTTCCAGGAGCAATTTGGTTGTGGACGCCTAGAGTTTGGTGTCTCCCTTTTTCCTTTGGTTGCTAGAAAGCTTAATGTCTTGAGGTCCTTCTCTGTCAAGCACATACCACTTCATGGGAGGTATTTTTATTTACCAATCTCATTGCAGCTTCTAACTTGCTTTCCAACCCTTAATTTTCCTTTAAGTCATTTTTTTGCCATATTAAATGCATATTTTTAAAACCATTTTGAATATTTTTTTGGAATATAGTGGGTATATACAAAATCATTTGATTATTGTTTCAGATAATGCAAATCAGTGAATAACCATGTTTTAGAAATGAAATTACACAATTATAAGTTTACTTTTGCTTTTATAAATATTATCAAGATCCAGAAAATTAGATTTCAGTACAGTTCACTGTCTGTAATCCCAAAGGAACAAATATGCAAAGACAGTAGAGACCACTATTAGGGTCTCTGAGAAGGTTGCTCCCTCATTTGTTTGAACAGGCAAATTTTCAAAAGTAAAATCACTCTCCCTAAATATTTCGTAGATTGCAGTAACCTGATAAACGACTTGTTTATTCATTGTCTCTGTAGTACCTGCACAGTGGATTATCCATAGCAACAATCCTTTTCAAAACTTATTAGGGCCAACTCCATATTTATTGGGGAAATAAAACCACCAGGTTAAACAAACTGACGGTTGGTTCTGTGTATTTACTCTCTTTCAAAGGGATCTGTTAAACCTTCAGTGTTCCATGTTGTATAGATCATTAGAGAAGCTGAATTAGGGTATGACTCTATGATTCTGAATGTATCATTTTTATAGTATGTTTAAAGTCAAATAAAAAAGATGATGAGCAAATAAAGCTTTAGAAATAAAGTACTATTTTGTGTATTGAAAATAGGGCCAAATTCTCTGCACAGTAGAAATCAGAGCTATATTCTGGTAAATATTACCACTCCTAGTCTATAGAGGTTAAATAGAATACATAACATTGGCCCAGTAAAACAGATTTCTGTTTTTCTTGGCTCTAGAAATTACATTGATGTAGAATCTATAAGAAAGGCTGTGCCTCAGAAAAAATATGTAGTTTCAGAATTACAGAGATTTTCATAAGAGAACAGATTTTTTTCAAAGAATTTGAATTGCTGTTGAAATGTAAATTAAACCTAAGATCTTTTCATGTCATTTGTTGAGAAATTAAGTAGTATTTAAAAATCACAAAATGTTAGAGTTCATCTAAGATTCTTATTTTACAGCCATGAATGCTTTTAGAAATTGCTACAAAAGCACAGTGTCTCTCATCTCACATGTCCTTGTACAATATAAAAAAAATTTTTTTAACTAAAATTTGTTAAGCTTCTATCCTATAAAGTATACTAATGGGAATACAGTAATCTTTTACAAGGGTAGATTGATGAATAATTCTGTTTTGTTTTTTGATATAATAGGATGAAGTATATTTTTTCCTTATTAGATTTTTTAATGTAGATCAATAGTGGGGCTCTGCATTTATGAATTGGTTGAGCTGGTTTTGATAAAATCTTTGCTATTTGTCAAATATCTTATTTTTTCTTACTATAAGTTTTTTTTTTTTGGTAGTTTTAGCACTCGTTTCCTTTTGTTTATCTTCACAGATTCTGGAACTTTTCAAAGCCTGACCCTCTTCTTGAAACAGTGGAGCATCACACAGAGTTTACTTGTGGTTTGGATTTAAGTCTTCAGAGCCCTACTCAGGTAATGGGTGCAACCTCATGTTTTCTTCTACCTGTACAGTTCACAGCTAACTCTGTGTGGCATATGTTGCTTTTATGAATAAAATTGTTGCCTTTAGGCAGAATTAAGTATATTTACTTAATTAACCTGATCACTTTTGCTATATAAACTTGAGTATTTGAGCATTGAACTACTAGGGAATAAGAGGTATCCAGAAACTTGGCATACCTCTCTCCTCTTGAAAGACTGATTTCTCTGTGAGACAAAGGAACCTTTCCAATAGATTTTGTGCCTAACATGTTGAAGGCTTTGACTAGGCCTCTCCTGATAGAAAGAGTGACAAGAGAAAGATTGGAGTAGGGCAGGCTTGTTTCCAGACGTTGGTGGATATCAAAAGTATGTGGTCCCTGACTCAGCTATCCCATTAGCAGTGGAGACCATGAGCAGGTCATCTCCCACTCAGGACTGTCACCCTCGTCTCTATGTCCCATGTCAAATGGGAGGCTTTAGATGAAGAACAAAGTAAAGGAGAATGTCTACTGTTTTAATTACTAAACAATATATTTTCCTTTTATTGTTTGCTTGAGGACTTGAGAATAAATATTTTGGACTTCACGTATTCTTCAGGGTTTTTTTGAGAGCTGTTTCAGTTTCAGATATTGTAGAGTCAGGTTAGAAACACTATAGTCTGTTGAGTGATAAGGCATTTTATAACACAGGCTGTGAAAGAACCAACATATCAGTGAAACACAAAATAATATGTAGAAATTCTAGAGTATGACTAAGGAATTATGCTTTTATGATTTTAGAAGTTAAACAAAATGAAAATTCCACTTTACATTACTGTTTTCTTAAATTTAAATTAATACACACATTACATTTTAAGAATTTAAGACACAATTCTGAGTTTGAAACATTCTCATTAAAATTATAATATTCTCATTGATATTAGAATAATTATTTTAAAATGACTTAATAGCATGTAAGAAGAGAAGAAACTGAAATAGTGATGAGTGAAATGGCATTATCTTTTATGTAAATACAATGTGCTTCAAATGAACTAGTTCCTTTTCTGAGAAATACATTTATTATAGATGATTTTTAATAAAATAATTGTACCTGTTTTCCAAGTTTAAAAATGTTGTAATGTGCATATTGAAACATTGCATTACCAAACAAAGGACCCTAAGTAAATATTCATTAAATATTCATTCTTACATATTTCTGTTAACTGTACTCTGTGAGACCCAGACTAGACCTGTGGCTCCCCCATTTCCTTGGTTATGGCAGTTCCTCACCCAGGTCTGAAGAATACCAAATGTTTTCTAAGTCTTCCACACATAGGCCCACCTTATCAAAGGGAACTTTGTGATCAGAGGACTTATTAATCAGATGATATACATCCTTAAATAATAAGAGATTTTATTGCAAGGCCATATATCTTGTTTGTAGCCTGGTGACTGCCACCTCTCTCTTCCTGTTAAATAACCAAATTCCATTTGTACTAAGGAAGTAGTTGCTGGTGAGAGCAAATAAGAGTGGAGAAGCAGGCCTCTTCAAGCTCTAAATAAGCAGCAGATTCGAAGGCATAATCCACCCGAGTTAATTCATAGTGGGATAAAATTTTGGGATTGGGGAGGACCTTATAGTACTTGGCCAGATGTGGTGGCTCATGTATGTAGTCCCAGCACTTTGGGAGGCAGAGGCAGGAGGATTGTTTGAGGCCAGGAGTTCAAGACCGGTCTGGGCAACATAGTGAAACCCCATCTCTACAAAAAATTAAAAAATCAGCTGAGCGCAGTGACTTGTTCACTTTAGGGGACAGTTTATATGCAGAAGTAAAGTATGACAGCAATAGAATAAGGAAAGTGAAGGAAAAATTGGAAGTGTAGTTGACCCTTGAAAAACATAGGGGTAGAGATGCCAGCCCCCCAAGCACAGTTGCAAAGCTACATACAACCTTTGATCCCCAAAGACTTAACTACTAATAGCCTACTGTTAACCAGTAGCCTTACTAATAACATAAATAATTAACACATATTTTGTATATGTATTATATACCATATTCTTGCAATAAAGTAAGCTAGAAAAAAGAAAATGTTATTAGGAAAATCATAAGGAAGAGAAAATATATTTATTGTTCATTAAGTAGAAGAGGATCGTCATAAAGGTCTTTATCCTCATCATGTGCAGTCTGAGTCTGAATAGGCTGAGGAGGAGGAAGAGGAGGAGTTGGTCTTATTTTCTCGGGTGGCAGAGGCAGAGGAGGTGGAAGGGGATGCAGGAGAGGCAAACACACTTGGCTTAATTTTTATTGAAAAAAATCCACATATAAGTGGATGCGTGCAGTTCAAACCCATGTTGTTCAAGGGTCAGTTGTATACTGTTATAAAGTTCCTATTGCCACATGTTAAGTAATATTATTTGAGGGTAGGTTGTGGTAAATTCAATGTGTATATTATAAACTTTATGGTAACCTTTAAGAAGTTTTAGAAGAAGAGGTATAATGAATAAGCCAGTAGTGGTGATAAAATGAAATTATAAAAAGTAATCAATTACCTCAACCTAATAAAGACCATATATGAAAAACCCCCAGCCAAACATCACACTCAATGGTAAAAGACTGAAAGCTTTTCCTCTAAGATTAGGAACAAGACAAGGATGTACACCTTTGCCACTTCTATTCAACACAGTACTGGAAGTGTTAGCCAGAGCAATTAGGCCAGAAAAAGAAATAAGGCATAGAAATTGGCAAGGAAGAAGTAAAATCATCTCTGTTCACAGATGACATCATCTTATATGTAGAAACCCTTTATACCTGGGCTCACTCATGTGGGTCTAGTCATCTGGTGGCTTAACTAGGGCTAGAACGTCTTAGATGGCCTCATTCACATGCCTGGTGGGTAGCGCCGGCTGTCTTCTGCGCTGTGTGTCTCAAAGTGAGCCCAGGCTTCTTCACTTAGCAGTTATTGTTTCCAAGAGGGTAAGAGCAAAAGCTTCAAGGCATCCTGAGGACTACATTTGGAAGTCACACAACATTTCTTCTTTTGCAAAGCAAGTGGCAAGGCCAGCCCAGATTCAAAGAGTGGGAAATAGACTCCACCTCTTGATGGGAGAGCCTGTGAAGAATTCGTAGTTGTTTAAAATCTTACCACACTAACCTTTGTTGGTTCAGTTGATGGTTTAAGTTATTTTTAACGTATTATATTTACTCTTGATTCTCACAATACATGTCAAGTTTACTGACTACCAGTTAATTTAATTTTATCCTTTGTTCATATTTCATTCTCTTAGAGAGTATCTTTCTCTTCTTAGCATCTTTCCGTCTGCTTTCAGAAACCTTGTTGTCCTTTGTGATCTTAGCAGCTGTAGGACCTTGCTGACGTTACTTCAGTGCTCTGTGTTTTGATATATTCTCTGTCATAAAAGAGATTTATCTGAGTTCTTATATGTATAATTCTTTTTCTTTATAGCTTCTCCCTTCTTAGAGATCTGAAAAATGAGGTCCAAAGGCATTCTTATATTATACCACCTTTCTTTTTGACAGAATGTAAGATCTTATCTTTAAAGGTTTAAAACTTGACAAATAAGTGTCTGAGGTCATTCTTTAAGGATAATTGCTGAGACATACTCTACGCCCTCTCTTGTTAACTAGGCTGAAGTTATCTTCCACTTGAGAAAATTTTGTCTTTGATTTTTTTCTCTCTGATCATGATTTGTACAGTTCTAGCATTTTCTCTTTTCTTTCTTATCCTTATTATTTCTAAATTGGGTATTCCTTTTCTGTTTTTACATTTGTGATTCTAGACCTGTAATATGATTTATATCATTGGAATTTCTGAATCAAATTATCTTTAGAATTCCTGACTTTGTGCTCTCAGTATCAATTCTGCTCTTTTGAATGCTCAATGATATTTAGTGTAGTATTTATAAGCTGGGTGCGGGTTTACATATCTTTACACATTCCTTTTAGAGCGTAGTTATTTCTCTCTTTAATCTCTTTTTAAGTAGATATTGTCCATTTATTCCAAGATGTCACCTCTATATGCTTAATAAAGTTTAACTTTTTTCTCATGATGAAATGTGGGAAATTACATTTAGAAGAAAGAGGACCATTACCCATGGTCCCCTCACTCCTGGAAGAATCTATTATACCATATTATTATGTTTCTTTGCAGTCCTTTTTTATTTAAAAAAAAAACAGCTTTTAATTGAAGTGTAACATCCATATTGAAAGATGCCCATATTTCATATGCATAATAACAAGAAATACTTATAATAAGTAATAAACTCAATAAGTAATCAAGAAGTGACGCCACCTGTATAACCACCATCCAGTTTAAGATATAGAACATTGCTGGCATTCCAGAAGCTTCCTCCCAAATCTTACTCCATCCCTCCTTCTTAATGGTAACGACTCTTCCAGTCTCTTTCTTTATGTGTGTATATTTTTCAAAGCTGTGGTTATACTATGTATATCAGTTTGCCTTCTGGGACTCACAAAATGCTTGGCAAGCATTATCTTTAATGACTGAACATCCTGATCTATGTTAGGAACATGCAGTTCCTATGAAGACTTTTCCTTAAAATATGATAGAAGTTTTATATATTTTTGTTTTGTTTCAGTAGAAGATGCTTAGATTTGGTTCTGATTTAAACTAGTTCTTTGGATGTATTTTTAAAAGCATCTTTGGCTTTGTTGGTTTTTTAATTTAAAAAAATTAGGTAACATTTAAAAACTCAGCTCATGTTTTGGTTCAAATCTCTGCTCCCATAATCTTCAATATCAGGTTTAAAGGTTGACAGTAGATAAAAATATTTTTAAATTCTCAATATGAGTTTGGAAAATTGGATTTTAGAAGAGGGCTAGCATTATTGGTAGTTAGGATATCTGTGTCCTGTTCACCTTTTATCTCAGGTGATGTTCTCTGCATCTGTCACAGGCCAGCTTTAGAGTTGAAAAGAACATGTGCCAGAAGCATTCATTGTCCTCAGGCATTAGTCTCTGCTGTTTCCTTGTT